AGGCAGTCTACCGCCCAAGATGGCACCAAGGCGCTGATTATTCAGTCTCTATGTCGTGAGAAAAAAACCTACCCTGGTGGAACTTGACACATTCTGTTGCACAATTGCTATGCCACAATGAAACTGGTTATCCTGGGGTAATTCATGTCTGATGTCTGATATTTGTGTTGCCTGTTTTTGTAGGGCACAAATGGATATCATAGATGTTAACTTCCTGTCTTGATTGCTTTCAGCAAGCAAGAGCCAATGAGGTGTGGACCTCCTTTTTGTGGTTTGTGTATCTAAAGTGATGTTTTGCTCTTATTCTGTCATACTGTTATTTTGACCCGGATTACCTGATAATGTTTTGCTCTCCTGCCCTTGCGTAACTGACCTGGCCAGTTTGCCTTCTTCCTGATTTTGGGTACCAGTTCCTGGCCTTTATGATTTACCGTCCTGTGTACAAGTCCCTGGTATGTTTCTGAATATGCTTTGCATGTTTTTGTTCTTCTCCTGTGCTGTAGTGTTTTTTTTCCCAGTTCTCTTGTTTTCTAGTTCTTGTTTTATGTTAGGCCTGGCTACCTTAAGGTACTGCACCTCTTCCTATCTGTCTCTCTTTGCCATTGTTAGATTGCTGTCTCTCACCTTGCTGAAGAATCTCTAGCCATCCCTGACACAATGATATTTTGGCTGATATCCGGAGCTTCTTGCAACAGCTTCACACTTAAAGATATCATAATGTGGAACCTGGAGGCTTTCTTACACACAGACCTAGATAAGCTGTGCAGTGACTTACTTATCTAACAAATAGTGTCACAGACTTGGAAAAAGAGAGAGACAACTCTGAGTGGTTCTGTCACGACTAGAGTTGAGCGAACCCAAACTGTAAAGTTCGGGTTCGTACCGAACATTACGATTTTTGGACACGAACCAGAACCCGGACATTTCAGTAACAGTTCGAGTTCGGTGTTTGGCGATTTAATGCCGCGTTTTGAAAAGCTGCAGGGCAGCCAATCAACAAGCATTTGACTCGTGTGCCTTTAGAAGCCATCACAGCCATGCCTACTGTCTGTGATTGGCCAGTGCAGCATGTGACTCAGCCTCTGTATAAGCTGGGGTCACATGAGCTCTTATTAGTGTAGGGAGAGCATGCTGCAGCTGTGAGGGACAGATTAGGAAAGAATTCTGGTGTTGAATCTGCAAACTACAGCGATTATTTTTGTGGGTTCTATACTATATTTTTGTACCCTGCCCTGAGCCCAGTGCCACAGAGAAATAAGCAATCAGTCAGGTGGGCACTTGCAACTGCATGTGTGCCAGGCACATTACTTTAATCCTGTTCTGGTAGCTCAGTGGGCAACATCTAGGCATTTTTAAATATTGCCGTGACATTGCAGTTTGACAAATTCACATTTTGTTGGTGCTAAAAAGTTAATTTGGGGCGTGCACTTCATATCTGAGAGTCATATAGAACCGTCAAATACTGTGGTTACATCGCACTTTGAAAATTTCTAATTTTTTGGTTGCTAAATAGTACATTTGCGGCCTGCGGTACATTTCTTGCAGTCCAATAAAACCCTTAAATACTACTCTTACATTGTTGGTTTAAAAAAAAATCACACTTTTTTGAGACAGTGAAGTAACTGTATTAATTACGCCTGTCACACTGTTGTGTGATCTCTTGAAATGTTTTCTCTTTAGGACACCGGCACTGCCTTACTGTCAGTGAACTTAATTGTTGACTATTGGCGGTTAAATTGTCGCCTGACATAAACCATGTGTTAGTTTGGTGGGTGGAGCTCCTGTTGCAGGGAGAGGACGTGGTTGATTTGTGCCAGCTACACGCACAAGTGAAACATCTTCCTCAGGTGCGAGTAGGCGAACGAACCTTCAGCGTTATTTGGTAGGCCCGAATGCCGCTCTACGAATGGTGAGGCCAGAACAAGTACAGGCGATAGTAGATTGGGTGGCTGACAGTGCCTCCAGTTCCTGCACATTGTCTCCCACCCTGTCCCCTTCTGACAGCTCAGTTGGCACCGGATGCCCATGGCCATCTGTCTTTCACTTCACCCTCTTGCAACTCAGCCAAGCAGTCTGAGCCACAAGTCATGCAGCAGTCTCTTATGCTTTTTGATGACTCAGCAGGTGGGGTTTCCATAGGCCATCCACCTAACCCTGCTCCAGAAATGGAAGAGGTTGAGTGCACTGATGCAGAACCACTTATGTTTCAGGATGTGGACAAGCGAGGACCACCGCAGCACGTCTCTGATGACGAAACACAGGTGCCAACTGCTGTTGCTTTCTGCAGTGTGCAGACCGGCAAAGTGGGTAGGGTTGAGGAGTGGGTGGAAGATGATGTGGAGAATGATGAGGTCCTAGACCCCACATGGAATCAAGGTCCTGCGAGTGACGTGTGCAGTTTGGAGGAAGAGTCGGTGGTCGCACAGAGGCACCAGCACAGCATAAGCGGGAGCAGGGTGCAAAAGCGGAGCGGCCCACCGCACCCAGGGACCGAGCACACTAAAGCCAGCTCCAAGGAGTTCCCTGGCGTGGCAGTTCTTCAGACAATGTGATGACGACAAGACAGGAGTGGTTTGCACGCTGTGCAATCAGAGCCTGAAGCGAGGCATAAATGTTCTAAACCTGAGCACAACTTGCATGCAAAGCACGAGCTGCAGTGGAGTAAGCACCTCAAAAACCAAGAAAGGTTTCAGGCTCCTACGGCTTCCTCTTCTACTGCTGTGTCTGCCTTTTCGTCCACCTCTAGAGTGACAGTGGCACCTGCCACCCGCAAACAGAGGATGTGGCAGCAACGTCACCACGTCCGCCACCGTCCCCAAGCATCTCCACGCTGTTCCATGGAAGCGTTCAGCTGTCCATCTCCCAAACACTGGAGTACCCCCCTACCCACCCGCGATCCCTAGCCCTGAATGCCAGCATTTCAAAATCCCTGGCCTTTGAAATGCTGTCATTCCGTCTGGTGGAGACTGACCTTTTAAAAACCTGATGGCGGTGGCTGTCCCACAGTACGTGGTTCCCAGCCGCCACTACTTTTCCAGGCGAGCCATCCCTTCCCTGCACAACCAATTGGCGGACAAAATCAGGTGTACACTGCGCAACGTCATCTGTGGCAAGGTCCACATAACCACTGATACGTGGACCAGTAAGCACGGGCAGGGACGCTATATCTCCATAACTGCACACTGGGCAAATGTAGTGGCGGCTGGGCCTGAGGCGGATAGCAGTTTGGTGCATGTCTGTGGCGAAACCAGCCTCGCCACTGTCCACTGGAGGAGCCAGGTTGCTCGCCTGCTCCCTTTAGACTATGGCCCGGCATTTAAAACATTTTATTTTTTCCTGCAGAAAGGCGTATTCGTGCATTTCTGCCAGGGTGTTCAGTAGATTCAATCTACCAAACAAAGTACCGAAAGATCGTCCACCTAGGAACTTCAATTGACCGCCCAGAAGCTGCGGTTAACCGCAGCTTAATTGACGAATGCTGGGCCTTTGTTTGGTTGCCGAACACATGGCAGCAGCCATTTTAACTCCCGAACGGCTCCCAAACTATGGAACTGAAAACGGACACTTATTTGCGCGAACACCGCTGAGCCACCAGCATCCTTACCTCTGCATTCGGTAACGGAATAGTTTAACTGTATGAACAACATCACCCCAGATAGCCATGCGATGGAGCCTAAAGGTAACAGTGTGTAATTTTATGTCTTTTTACTAAAATGTGTGTAATGGAGTTTTGCCTCTGTCCTTGGAGATAATTGGATTACTTTCTAATTATCTCCAGGCCAGAGAGGAGGGATTGCGATGCATTGTGGGATTGTTGAAATGTGTAAGTCTGTGATTGGCCCTTTTACCCTTTGTGTCCCAGTCTCCCAACTGGTCCCCTACGGGAGTGTCCACCAGGTGGGAGACCTGCATAAAAGCCGGGCAGTTAGCCCCAGTAAAGGAGTTCCTGCTTGACCCTCAAAACGAAGTGTCGTCTCGTTATTGGGGGAATTGGATTGTAAGCTGATTGCCAGGAGTGTAAGCTGATTGTATGCTTTTCGTGTTTGGCTGTTAACAGTGTTTGTGTGTTTCCTGTTCGGGAGTTGGAGGATTTGTGTAGTTTGCAGTTAGGGAGATTGGTGCTTACAGTAGCTGTCTGTGCATCTTAAAAGGGGAATATTGCCTAAACGTTTTTAACCTTTTGTGTTCAAAACGGTCCGTTACAACGTCCTTCCGCCACCGAGGATTGCAGGGCATTTCTCTTTGCCTCCTGTTGCCTCCTCCTCCTACTCCGCTTCCTCCTCCTCTACTGTCCCTCATCTGGGCAGCGTAACACCTTCACCACTAACTTCAGCACAGCCAGGGGGAAACACCATCAGGTAGTTTTAAAACTCATATGTTTGGGGGAAAGACCCCAAACACCGCAGGAGCTGTGGATGGGCATGGAACAAAAGACCGATGAGTGGTTGTTACCACTGAGCCTCAAGCCCAGCATGGTGGTGTGTGATAATGGGTGGAATCTCGTAGCAGCTCTGAGCTTAGCCATTTTGACGCACATCCCTTGACTGGCGCATGTGCTGAATTTGGTGGTGCAGAAATTCCTGAAAAACTACCCAGATTTATCAGAGCTGCTGCAGAAAGTGTGGGCCGCTTGTGCACGCTTTCGGCATTCACACCCTGCTGCTGCTCGCCTGTCTGCGCTGAAGGGTAACTTCGGCCTTACCGCCTCGTATGCAACATACCCACAAGGTGGAACTCCACCTTGCACATGCTGGAGAGACTGTGCGAGCAGCAGCAGGCAATAGTAGAGTTTCAGATGCAGCACACACGGGTCAGTCGCTCTGCATCAGATTTGCCCTCCAATAGATCCTTGTTAAAGGATTTAAAGTGTACTCATTCCAATTACAGGGCCTCGAAAGAGTCCTGTATTGATATCTTTTGTCACTACCTCCCCACGGAGTGGGTAATTTGCGCGTCTGCTGCCTTACTTGGATGTGGTAGCAATTTCTCAGGCTTCCTCTCCGGAATTGAACCCTGATTCCCTGGTACCCGTGGTCACCATGGTAGTCTCAGAAAGTACCATCAAAAAATGATAGGGCAGACATCCGAATGTGTCATCGCCGTCACGGGGACGTGCGATCGGCCCGAGGTTATCTAGAGTCACCAAAGTGCCTGCTCAACAACTGCCGAGTTGCTCACATTCTAACTTGTGCTGATTACTGGGTGGCCAGCCTGCTGGATCCCCGTTACAAGGACAACGTGACGTCCTTAATTCCCTCACTGGAGCGTGATCGAAGATGCACAACTACAAGCGCACGCTGGTAGACGCGCTGCTGAGGACATTCCAAACTGACACCGGGGGCTCAGTGGAAGCACAAGGCAAAGGAGGAGGAAGAGGTTGCCAACGTAGCTGGGGCACCGCCAGCACCTCAGAAGGCAGGGTTAGCATGGCCAAAATGTGGAAAAGCTTTGTCAGCACGCCAAAACAACCAGGACCACCATCTGATATGGAAAGTCTTAGCAGGAGGCAGCATTTCAGCAAAATGGTGGAACAGTACGTGTGCACACGCCTACACGTACTGACTGATTGGTATGGCCCATTCAACTTCTGCGTCTCCAAATTGGGCACATGGCCTGAGCTTGCCCTTTATGCCTTGGAGGTTCTGGTCTGCCCTGCAGCCAGTGTATTGTCTGAACGTGTTTTTAGCACGGCAGGGGGCGTTAACACAGACAAGCGCAGCCGGCTATCCACAGCCAACGTCAACAAGCTCACGTTTATTAAAATGAACCAGGCATAGATCCCACCAGACTTGTCTGTACCTTGTGCAGAATAGACCTTTATAACGGCCTCACCCAGCCAGTGCACTTATTCTTTGTTTTCTTTTTTTATATGTCCCAGTATTTTGGTGGCTACCCCAATTGATTGCAGGGCACTTGTCCTACTCTTACCCCCATTTTACTTTCTTTTGCAGCCCTTTAGCCCTTTCCAGGATACTTTTAGAGCCATTATAGTGCCCAAAAGTTTGGGTTCCCATTGACTTCAATGGGGTTCAGGTTCGGGGTCAAGTTCGAGGCCGAACTCTGAACTTTTTGCCGATGTTCGGCCCAACTTGGCGAACCCGAACATCCAGGTGTCTGCTCAACTCTAGTCACGTCTTAAATTTCGCTCCTTTGCTGCTCTGGCGGCATCTCTTGGTCGCCCGAATGTGCGCATGAACGATGGAAGGAGACAACCAACGAACTTGGATTGCGTCTATCATGGAAGCCATACATACACGCTAGGAGGCGTGCTCGATCGTTCCAATGATCTCAGTTAAGCCAATGGGAGGATATTATGCATGTTCTCTATTGGTGACATTTAGTGCCTCCAGGCAGTGCACTGACACAGGACTCTCTAGTCGTCGGCTGAGTGTCACTATAGGTCTTAGTTAGCAGCAATGTTAGCACTGCCTTTTCTCTAAACCTTTACAGGTACTGTTTCTTCAAGAACTGGAACTGGTGCAAACACATGCCAAACAAGTAAAACTCCTCCACATATATGCCAAAGATATTGACAACAGAATCCTCACTATCACCTTCAACAATCTCCAGCAATGCCCAGAAGACTCATCTGTTGCTTTTAACAGAGCATTCAGACTTAGAGGCACTGCGGCTTCACAAGCAAGATACATTTGTTGTTTACATTACTACACTTTCAAATAAAATATACTCCGCATGGTGCGACAATCAACACCAATACCGTTGGAAAGCATGCCCATTTCTATCTTCCATTGCCAGGATCTATCTTGGTCCACGTTACAAGCTCGATGAGTCTTGAGACCCCTCTCTGAAACGTTGACCACTAAATGGTTGAAATATCATTTTGGCTCTCCGATGAGCCTCTCCATCTCAAATAATGGACTATGGCTTACTGTGCAGCAACCTGAGGACATCTGCTTGGGGCTGGAATCTACTAATTATTTTTGGTTCAAAGATGATGTGTTACCTGCAAACTTGTACTTCTATGGGGACCAAGAATTTAATTTATTTTTTAATGGCCTGAACTCTAATAATTGGGAAATTAAGTTGACCAAAAATATTAGTCAAACCAGCATCAAAATTGTAGATTTAATTATTTATATCTTAGAGAATGCTTTTATGACCCATACTTTTTTAAAACAAGTTGGTGAGTTTTATTGAGACTAGCAGTTGCCATCCCCATCCGCGTTTAAAAAATATTTCCAAAGGCCAATTTTTACAGCTTAAAATAAATTGCCCAAACCAGAAAGATTTTAATAATAAATCTTCTTTAAAAAAAAACAAAAACAAAAAAAACCCTCTTTTTACAGAAAGGTTATAATAATGAAAGCCTTCAAAAAGTATTGATGATGTTCGTGAACAAAACTGATCACAATTATTAGAATATAAAAAGAAAGACATAATTACAGAAGCAAAACAAATTCCACTCATTTTAATTATTGCAGTAACATCTGTGTTATAAACAAAATTTGGCACATACTTAAACAAGAACAGGATATTTGTGATTTTATAGGAGGTACACCCAAGAGGGTAGTGGATGCATGGCAAAGGCTTCCAGCTGAAGTGGTAGCGGTTAACACAGTAAAGGAGTTTAAGCATGTGTGGGATATGCATAAGACTATCCTAACTATAAGATAAGGCCAGGGAATAATGAAAGTATTTAAAAAAAAATAAAAAAAAAATTGAGCAGACTAGATGGGCTGAATGGTTCTTATCTGCTGTCACATTCACATTCTATGACTTCTAGTTATGTGGAAAAAGCAAAGGGAAACCATTTTTTAGAGGATTGGTCCAAAAAACAAAAGGGTTTTTACCACTGTGGGAATTGTAATGCCTGTAAAGTCAATTTAATCACTAATAAAAAGAAAGAAAACTTTACATCTGTAATAAAAAAAAAAAAAAAAAAAAATTAACATCAAATCATTTATCACATGTGTTGGAGAGGTGGTCATATCATCAATAAAAGTGCAGTTTTTGTGTAAAAAACTAGTATGAACTTTGGCCAGCGTTTGTGAGTAGAAAATTAGAATGTGATGGAGATAAGAACCATTCGGCCCATATACCCTGCCCAATTTTCTTAATACTTTCATTAGTCCCTGGTCTTATCTTGTAGTTAGGGTAGCCTTAAAGGGTTCCTTTTAACTTTTCCTTGTAAGTTTTATCCTGCAATCCATGAACCAGTTTAGTAACCTTCTCTGTACTGTCTCTAAAGTATCAATATCCTTCTGGAGATACGGTCTCCAGTACTGCGTACAATATTCCAGGTGAGCTCTCACCAGTGTTCTGTACAATGGCATGAGCATTTCCCTCTTTCTACTGCTACTACCTCTCCCTATATAACCAAGCATTCTGCTAGCATTTCCTGCTGCTCTATTACAATGTCTGCCTACCTTTAAGTCATCATAACTAATAACCTCTAAATCCCTTTCCTCGGATGTTGAGGTTAGAACTCTCTCAAATAAGTGGCTACTAAAAAACACTGGACTATACCCCATTTTGAATACCCTGGGTTGTCTACTTTTTACAATGGTATGCCATGGGGGGGGGGGTTAATTTTAATTTATGGGCTGCCATACCGTTTCAAAGGCAACATAGCCAATCTGGCAAATTTCAATTTGCAAAAATAGAAATTGGCAAATCTTATTTTTTACCCTGTAACTTTCCAAAACACCATTAAACCTATACACGAGGGGTACTCGTGAGACATTACTCTACACATAAATGAGTATTTAAGAGCAGTAAAATGTATAATACTGATAATATCATTCGTGAAAGTGCAGTTTACTTGTGAAAAATGCAAAACAACGAATAACGCAAATTTTGGCCACGGTTTGTGACGGACTACTAAAAAAAAACTGGACATACCCCATTTTGGTGCAAACACATGCCCAACAACGAAAACTCCTCCACATATCTGCCAAAGATATGGTTGTCTACTTTTACAAACAGTATGCCAAGATGGGGTTAATTTTCATTCCTGGGCTGCCGTACGGTCTCAAAGGCAACATAGGCCCAGCAAACAAATCTGGCAAATTTCAATGGAAAAGGGAAAGCCCTATATTTGACCTCTGCAAGTTTCCAAAAACTCATAAAACCTGTACGTGGATGGTACTCTGGTACTAGTGAGACATTGCTGAATACAAATATGTGTATTTTATTGCAGTAAAATCTAACAATATTATGACATTAACAGTTAAAATATATGCAGAACTTGAAAAATAACACATTTTCTTCATTTCTTATACTTATTTAGATTTTATTCACATTAATTTATGTTTCATGCATAAATATGTGATATAAAATGAAAGCCCTGTTTCACCTGAACAAAATAAGTGTGGATACACGTAATATGAAAGAGATGAATTATGGTTGAACAACACATAGCACAAATTCCAGGATTTGTTTACGTTTTGTTTTGATCACAACTTGTACAATGGGCTCCGTTCATAAGGGGTTAAGTTATTTTATATATTGTTTATATTTTGTTAATGATAAAAACCTTTAAAAAAAACAACTTTTTAATACTATTTATAAGTGATATATTTTAGGTATTTTTCGCCTCCTTTTCATTACCATATTCTGATTATTCAATGTACTCATAACATGGAAGTTTTTTTTTTATTAACCCCTTCAGGACAGAGTCAATAGTACACGTTCTGATCAAAATAAAACGTAAACAAAAACTGGAATTTGCGCTATATGTCTGTTCAACCATAATTCACCTCTTTCATATTAAATGCACCCACACTCATTATATATCATTTTGTTCAGTAGAAACAGGGATTACATATCAAATATTTATATATGAAACATAATGTATTATGAATAAAATTTTAAAAACTGTGAGAAATGTTACATTTTTTGAAAAAAAATTGTAGTTCACATTTTAGATGTAAATGTCATAATACTGTTAGGTTTTTCTGCAAAAAAATGCACATATTTGTAATCAGCGATGTCTCACGAGTGCAATAGTACCCCCCATTAACAGGTTTTATGGTGTTTTGGAAAGTTACAGGGTCAAATATAGAACGTTTCATTTTCAAATTGAAATTTGCCATATTAGTAATGTTACCTTTGAGACGGTGTGGTAGCCCAGGAATGAGAATTACCCCCATAATGGCATACCATTTGAAAAAGTAGACAATCCAAGGTATTGAAAGTGGGGTATGTTTAGTCTTTTTTAGTAGCCACTTAGTCACAAACACTGGCCAAAGTTAGCGTTCATATTTGTTTTTGTGTGAAAAAAGCACAAAAATATTTGGCCA